TTCTTCACTGAGGAATTTGCCGGTGAGGAAATTCCTTAGCGAAGAACTATTAGCAGCGGAATAAGTACTCAGAAGTAAGCATAGCAGAATACAAGCATGGTCATCATGATGAAATGAAGACTAGCACAGAGTACAGAAAGCGTAATCACAGGATAACACAAGATGAAGACAAACAGACTGAAAAAATTGAACTGAGGAAATTGAGAAAGTCTTCAGTCAAAGTCTTCAAACACATATATGAACAAACACTCAACACACTAATGAGGAAATGAAAGGGTTGAGGAAATAGAACCAGTTAGGTTGGTGAAGACAATGATTTGGTAGACTAGTTCCAACTGCTGTCTCAGTTGTACGTCTGGTTGGAGCGGCTGAGTATTTAAACTTGAGGACACACAGTCCCGGACACCCAGTCGCTGAGCACGCAGCTCAGGACACCCAGTTCTCACCGTATTCTCCTTGAACTAAGATCACACAGACCTTGTCCAATCACTCGTGGTAAGTCTTCAGGCGACTTCCAAACCTTCACAGACTTGGTCACTCGGCGATCCACAATTCCTGTTGGATGCTCTAGACCTTGACGCCTAACCGTCTGGAAGAAGAACAGTCTTCAAAGGTAACAAGCGTCGGATCCACGCAGGATCAATTTCTTCAGTGATGCTCAATCACTTTGGGTTTGTAGGGGTTTGGTTTTGGGTTTTCCTCACTCGATGATTTTCGCTCAAAGTCCTCGGAGGATGGGTTGCTCTCAAATGACAAGTGTCAAGTTCTCTCGGAGCAGCCAACCAGCTAGTGGTTGTAGGGGGCGGCTATTTATAGCCTAGGGAGCAGCCCGACATGATAAGACATAAATGCCCTTCAATGATATGACCGTTAGGTGGATAAGATATTTTGGGACAGCTGGCGCGCAGCACAGCAACGGTCGGAAATTTGACTCTCAAATTCCTCAGGGCTATCATGTTCCTCACTGTGTAGGTAATTCGCACTGACGAATTCCTAACTCCTCAGTCAGAACAAATTCATCAGCGACCAGAAGAACTTCGTCTCTGTCACTAAAGAAAGTGACTGAACTGTATGAGATTTCCAAAGGCTTCACTCGAAGGGATTGGTAGGTGTAGGATTTTGAGTTGAGCATCACATGGAAATTTTTCCTTAGTATTTCCTCGACCCCCTTTAACAGTACAGTGTTTCCTATGACTCAAGAAAGAGAAAATGAAACTACGAAAACAAAAGTCTTCACGCTTCATGTTCCACAAATGAATACCAAGTCTTCAAGGTCACACCAATTTCTTCACTTTCAAAGTCTTCAGAAAGTCTTCAGAATATCAAAGTCTTCAGTTGAAGAACTTCATTTTTAGGGGTCGACTTTCTCTGTAAATATCAAACTCCTCATAGACTTATAGACCTGTGTACACTCACAAACGCATTAGTCCCTTAACCTATAAGTCTTCAATACACCAAAATCACTAAGGGGCACTAGATGCACTTACAAGGGCAAGATGCCTCTCCTGGAGATAAGGTAGGAGACGGATTACAAATCCTAGACTACCAAATACATGTATCCCAAATATATCTCTAACATCCCCCCGTAGTCGTAGCGGTAGCATTGCGAACAACAGGAGCGTCGCAGACGGTCAGACTGGAGAGAGTAGCAGCCGATGGGCTGACATCCCCCCACAGTCGTAGCGGGATCGTCGTGGACAGTGTCGCGCCGCGGACGCGTTGACTATAGTGGAAGCCGGCGAGTTACTCAAGCGGATGATAACCCTTTGTGCCGATGTCGACATAGCCGAGAGCGTAGGGTGGTGTAGCCGTGGTCGAGGTAGTCGTGCGAAGAACGCCGTGGTCGATGTTGAGTCGGGGTAAACGGTGTCGAGGGAGTCACCGTGGAGCCACATGCGCAAGAAGGCGCCGAGTTAGTTGTGGGCGCAGTGGTGTCGAAGAAGTGGTGCGCAGGGAAGGAGAATGGTGTTGACGACGCGTCGCGCCGGGGTTTCCAACCCCGAGGACACATCGTAGATGAAGGCACGCGCCGGTGTTGCCAGCACAAGGCATGCATAGACGGACGAAGACGAAGTTGACAAAGCACCGCACCAGGCTTGCCAGGCCCGGGGACACGTCTTGGAGGAAGGCACGCATCGGTGTTGCCAGCACCGGGCATGCGTAGATGAGGGACCAGCACGAGTTGTACGCCATGTCGGAGAAGTCGGAGGGCCAACAGAGAAGAACTCGACGACGGTTGCGGCGCCAATCGGCACGGGGCCAATGTCGCCCGCGGTTGTCGGAGTAGATGAAGCGGTCGGGGTAGATGACGGCGACGCTGGCGACGAGCTGGTGCTGGATGAAGACGAACGGGGTGGACGGGCGGCGGCGGCAGCTACGGGGGTAGTAGCGACGGCGGTCGAAGAAGAGCGGCGGCGGCGGCCTGACGGCGGCGGCGGCGGCTAGGTTAGGAGTGCGGCGGCGGTGCTCGAAGTAGGCGAGAACCCTGACAATGCGACGAAGACCGGCGCGGACGGTGGCGTTCCCGCGCCAAAGGAGGTGGTGCGGCGCATGTCACAGGAGGTCGACGCGCGGGGACGGCGGTGGACCGCGGGCCACGGCGCTACGGCCCGAAGGGGCGACGTAGTGGCGGCGGGCAGGTCGGGGTGACGACGGAAGACCTCGGGACGGTCGCAGGGACCGCGGGCCGCGGTGCTACAGCCCGAAGGGGCGGCACAGCGGCGGAGCGCGGGGTGGTGCAACCGCGTGGACGGCCTTGAGACGGCGGCGTGGACCGCGTGCCATGCTCGCTACGGCCCGACGGGGCGACGCAGCGGCGGCGCGAGGGCCGGTGCAGCCACAGGGACGGCCTGGAGCGGACGGCCTCGGGGCGGCGGTAGACCGCGGGCCGCGGGACTACGGCCCGAAGGGGCGACGCAGCGATGACGCGGGTCGGTGCAGCCAGGAGGAGAACCACGGGGCGGCGGCGCTGCGGCCCGACGGGGCGACGCAGCGGCAGCCCGTTGCTCGATTGGTGGAGGGGCGCGCTGAACTCGGGACAATCTTCATGGGACCTGCAGAGGCGCGCGCAACCGACAGGCCAGGTTGGTCGCGCGGCGTAGATGAGGTTGGATCGCGGCGGCGAGCGGGTGATCAAGCCGATCGCGCGCGAGGTCGGGGACGCCGTTCGGTGAAGGCGTGGTGGCGATGGAGTCCGAGATGAAGCCGGCAGCGGCGGGCGGCAGGACGGCTATGATTGGCCGCCACATGGCGCGAGGCCGCCGGGTCGGGGTGATGCAGGAGTCCCGGTCGGAGCAGGGCGGTGATGGCCGGCGTAGATCGACGGGCGGGACGTCGCGCGAACGGCGGCGGTGAAGGGCCGCCGCATGACGCGAGGCCCCGGCGGGCCGACGCGCGGACGACACGGGAGGCCGCCGAGTCGGGACGACCGACGGGCGGACGCGTGGATGACACGCGAGGCCGCCGGGTCAGTGAAGAAACCGACCAATCGCGCCGGTGTTGGAGTAGAGGCGCACGGGGTCGATGGCGGCGATGGGCGACGCAAACCGGATCACATAGACCGGAAAACCAAAAAGTAGACGCCGGCCAAAGCGACCGGCGAGAGAGAGAAAACCCGGATCAAAGGATCGGGAAAAAGACTGTCTAGGGCAGCCGGTCAACACGACCGGCGGACGAACCCTAGGTACGGGCGGCGCGGCCCCCGGCGGCGGTCATGGATGCCGACCGCCCCGGGGGCGGCGCAGGTGCGGAAGCGGCGGCGGCTAGGGTTTAGGATCGACTTGCGATAGATACCATGTTAGAAAGGAGAGAGGGATTGTTGCGGAATATGATGGATGTATTATTGAGCCTCGAGGGCGAGTATATATTGAGTACAAGACTTGGAGGGCAAGATGCCTCTCCTGAAGATAAGGTAGGAGACGGATTACAAATCTTAGACTACCAAATACATGTACCCTAAATATATCTCTAACAAAGTGAAATGCTGTCCCTCCACAATAGAAATAGGGTAACCAAATGCGGAATTGCAGAACATAAAATATGACACAGTGGGCCGTGCCTGGTTAAACTAGTTTGTAATCTTCACATCCCTCAAAAAAAAGTTTGTAATCTTCACAGGTTTTGGTTCCAAAAGCACTCTTTTTTCGAAGTTCTACCTGCCTCCAAATAAACAAACAAATTAACTGGTAACAAAAAGGCAAACTAGCCATTTTACATCGGAACAATAATGTGAACAAGATATTGGTCTTGTAACAGACTTATTTGGAGTCACATATAATTAGGACTTCTGCAATGTAAAAATCGGCACCTATTAATGATTTTGCTGAATAATTCTGTGTAGTAGTGCTATTTGCTAATGTTTCATCACACTTCATGACAGATATGGTCATGATATTGATAGCTACTCACTGGATGAGAAAGCATAAAAGGGAATTTGTTTGTAGTGATCTAGCATAGGTTAATACTCCCTCCGTCCCAAAATAAGTGTCTCAACTTACTACTAAAGTTGAGACACTTATTTTGGAACTGAGGGAGTAATATATAGCATGTCCCAAGACATGCAATTTTTTAAACTTACCCTCAGCCAAAAGATCTCCGGTAACTTAATAAATAGAGAAACTAATCTCAGATTGCTAGTCTCAACTGATGTAACTACACTGAAGCTGAACAAAAATTACAGCACCCCACTGTGCACACGGCAAAGACCCGGGAAACAACAACAAAAGGAAGAAGAAGAATTGGACCGCCCAAGGTACATAGATTCCGGAGAGAACAAAACGACCCGAAGAAATCAAAGCAAAGGCAAAACATCAATGGTTCTTCTGATCAATCAATCAATCCCTTGACCATCTCCAGGAACTTCAGTACATATAGTGAATTCAGTTCAAACTAAGTTGTTTCCAGCATTCCTTCTACCCCAGGAAGACGCTTTGACACGGTGCACTCCAACATAAAGGACACTGAAGAAACTACACTAATAAAGCTATAGCATGGCTATCATACTACTGTATTTTGCGAGTCTTTGCAGCTTTCTCCCACATATCAGCAAAGACACTAGGACATGCTATTTTCAGGTGCTGATACCCTGTACTAGTCATCACATCATCCACTCTATCTAAAGAGTTGATAAATCCAATGCAAGCATCTTTGAGCTTGCTGCAATGATGCTGGTCAGCAAGAGCCAACGTGGTCGCCACATTACTGGCCTCAAGAAACTTGCAAAGTTTGCTCTCACACATCAACTTCATCCTCTCCATGCCATATCTGTCCGCAGCCACGAGCAAATGCTTGACCATTTCTTCTTTGTCATCATCATTGAGGTCGTCCATGGGATTGGGAGGCAACTCATCTGAGTAGATGAAGTGAAGCAATGCTTTGAAAACAGCAGGCTCCATATCTTTGATGGTTATACTTTGCTCACATTTGTCCCTCATTGGCCCGTAGAGTTCGGCCTTAAAGACCGGCGAGCGCATTGCGAGGACGATCTTGTGGCAGTGAAAACCTCATCTTTGACCTTGAAAGACACATCCGATCCCTGCCCCTCCTCCAGCAAACTTCTAAGATTTTCCGACAAGTCCGAAGGAGGCACTTGGATGTGAAAGTTCCTTGTGGTCATTGACATCTGTGCTACCCTTGGCTTGATAACAGTGAGCTCGCACTTAATGAGAAGGACATCGTCGGGGATGTACCAGTGCGAAGACGCTTCGAGGTCGCTCCTCGTCGCGAACGTGGCATAGCCCCAGGACCAGGTTATACTACTGCTGAGCAGCACAGGCGCCATTAGTTTTGGCAATGTAAATTGTGCCGGCGACCCTGCAGCCTGCTGGACCAGCGTCAGATGGCACAGCGCCAGCACCTCCACATCTCTGTTCATGAGCTCCAGGTAGACTGAGACGTAGTCTCTGTAGGCCTCCGTGACACCGTCGGGGTAGTAGCAGACACACCAGTCGTGGCCCCCAACGGAGAAGGTGGCCGACCGGATGAACTTGCCGACGCCGAAGCCTGGCACACGCTGTAGCCTTCAATTTTGAACACGTGCTCGCCTCGCGTCTGCTCCGGCGCGCAAGTTGAGGTCGTCGAGATCACGGGATCTTGGATCAGGGATGCCGCCATTGGTGATCTCAATCTGTGCTGGGTGGACAAAGAAACTAATTGCCGCGGATAGGAGATTTTTTTTTCTGAGAAATCCGCGGATAGGAGATTTTTTTTTCCTGAGAAATCCGCGGATAGGAGATGTTAAGGTTAATCGCGATGGTCAACATGGACGACTCGAACTGTGATCAATCACCGTGAGATCAGGGAACAAACTTTTTTATTTTTTGAGTGGCTGATCAGGGAACAAACAAGGGAGTCCTGGGCTAATGGACGCTGCTCTCGCCTCAGGCGCATTGCACCGCAGACAAGCTCGTTAACCCTGGACTCGTACGCAATAGGTTCGCACGCTGAAGGTTTTCTCCGGGTTTTTTTTCATTTTCTTATGTTTTTTTCTTTGGGTTCTTTCACCAGCTTTTCTTTTCGGCAATGATAAATCCCGAAAGTTCGGATTTTAAGTATGGCAACCCGAACGTGTTTTATGGCAACTTTAGTTCACGTGAGGTTGGCAAACATTGCAATTTTCTGACAAAAAAACAAACTGGGATAAAGTTGTCATGTCTTAACAACTAAAGCTGTCACCTCACGTCAACTAAAGTTGCCATGTAAAAACGTTCGGGATGAAATGCTTAAAATCCGAACGTTTGGATTTTAACGAGGTCCTTTCTTTTTTATTCGAAATAACTTAAGTTTCCGTTATTTTTTCACCGGTTTCCTGTTAGATAATAAGGAGAATAAACGAGACACGAGAGACACAGATTTTTTCGTGGAAACCCTTACGAGAGAAAACCACGGACGCACGAAGGAGCAATCACTATGATGGAGGAATATTACAAGCACGAGACGACATGCCGTCTTAGGTGCGACTACATGAGGTATATATGAGGGCAACACATGAGAGTCTTTGGAGGACAAGTAAACGAGTTGTACCCGTACGCGTCGACGTCAACACAACACCCACACCGGTTGTACTACGTCTAGTCAACCCGGTACTAGAATTTGGATCACAATTTAACAATCTCCATCTTAAGCCAAATTCCCTCCAGTAGTCGAAGAAAGTGAATAACTCCATCCAAATCAGTATAAACACCTTGTGCGTCAAAGTTCATAGCACTAATGAGAAATACCAACTAAGCCTGAGCAAAGCTCAAACTTATTGGTCGGAACTGGTTTTGTCATCATATCAGCAGGATTATCATGAGTACTTATCTTGTATACCTTCAAATCACCTTCAGCAACAACATCTCGAATATAGTGATATCTGACATCAATGTGATTTGTTCTCTCATGGTACATTGGATTCTTGGTAAGCTATATAGCACTTTGACTGTCACTAAATATGGTAGGGCAAGATGAATCTCCACAAAGCTCAGTGTACAAATCTTTCGACCAGATAGCTTTTTTACATGCCTCAGAAATAGCCATATACTCGGCATCAGTAGTGGAACAAGCCACAATAGACTGTAAAGTTGCTCTCCAACTCACAGCACAACCACCAATGGTGAAAACATAACCTGTGAGTGATCTTTTCTTATCCAAATCACCAGCAAAATCAGAATCAACAAAACTAACAAGTCCATCTCCAGTTTTCCCAAACTATAAATAAGAATTAGAAGTACCTCGCAGGTATCTGAAAATCCACTTAACTACTTTTCAATGCTCTTTTCAAGGATTAGCCATGTATCTACTCACAACACTCAATGCATAAAATAAATCCGGACGAGAACAAACCATGGCATACATAAGTGAACCAACTGCACTTGAATAGGGAACTCTAGACATGTACTCAATATAGGAATCTGACTTAGGACATAAGGTTGATGACAATTTGAAGTGTGTAGCTAATGGTGTACTCACCGGCTTGGCATTATGCATATTAAAACGGCGAAGAATTTTATCAATATATCCCTTCTGACTTAGATATACTTTTCCAGACGGTCTATCTCTGAATATTTCCATGCCAAGAATTTTCTTTGCTGCACCCAAATCCTTCATCTCAAATTCATTACTCAATTGCTTCTTTAGTTCATTAATCTCTGACATACTCTTTGCAGCAATAAGCATATCATCAACATAAAGGAGCAAATAAATAGTTGAACCATTGACAGTTTTCAAATAAACACAACTATCATAATTAGACCTTTTGAAACCTTGAGAGAGCATAAAGGTGTCAAATCTCTTGTACCACTGTCTAGGGGATTGCTTCAATCCATAAAGAGATTTCTTTAACTTGCAGACAGACTTTTCTTTTCCAGGAATAACAAAACCTTCAGGTTGTTCCATGTAAATATCCTCTTCTAATTCTCCATGTAAAAATGCAGTTTTAACATCCAATTGTTCAAGCTCAAAATCATGCATGGCAACAATACTGAGTAAAATGCGAATAGAGCTATGCTTCACAACAGGAGAAAATACTTCATTATAGTCAATACCTGAAATCTGACTATAACCTTTAGCAACTAACCTTGCTTTATATCTTGTCTCATCATTAGGAGAAACACCTTCTTTCCTCTTGAAAACCCACTTGCAACGAATAGGTTTCTTCTCTCTAGGCAATTTTACTAAATCTCAAGTGCCATTCTTTTCAAGTGATTCCATCTCATCATGCATAGCGGTCATCCACTTATTACTATCACCAGAAATAATATCCTCGGAATATGAAGAAGGCCCAGAATTACCTTCAATTTCCTCTGCGCAACAGATAAAGCAAAAGAAACAATATTGCACTCTTCAATTAACCTATCAAGTTTACTAGTAAGATGCCCGTGCTACACTACGGGATAAAAAAAGGTTAACTTAAGTTATAGTTACGATCTCATACGCTGCTGCTGACAATAAAAAAATATACAGTCATTGATCAAAGTAATGATGTGTTATTGATACGTACATAAATATCAAGCACAATCAAAAATATGGTTTGCAATCCACAAACCCATGCGTCCAAGCCAAACAGTTTCTTCTCCATCTCCGCCTCACTGAAAGACTTGTTGTACTCCATATTGAGTTTTATCATTGCTCGCTCTATCCTATATCAAGTTGATAGAGACCATGCGGCAGATAGAAAATATGTTCACACACATGTGGCAACAACGGCGACACTGAATCCAAATCGGTCAACTTCATGATTGACCAGCTTTATCTCGGAATCCAAATTGGTCTGATTTCAAGTCCTCTTTGCTTCACATGGACGCCACCTCCATCCCATACACCATTTCCAGCTAGAAATGGTAACAAGTCAATCACCTCATTTTAACCTAGCCTTAATATCAATAATGGAATAACATGATGCGACATATCGATATTTGTCCCCACAACTCAGTGCAATGGAAGTGCGACTGGCACCGACCGACCCGTGCGTTGCCACGGGAAAATGTTTTAGAGGTGACACCATTCCAAGAGAGATAAAGCTCAAATGGATTTGAATATGTCGCTTATGTTTGTTAGCGAAACCATTTTGATTACAGTTTTAGCATACAAATATTTGCTTACGAAGTAAAATTGAAATAAATAAAAAGAGGCCTGCATTTCTAGATGATGAATGAAAAAGATTGTAAACATATGTGTTTTCAGTCATGTATGCAAGATAGAAATAAAGCATGAATAAACAAACTTCGGCTAAAACATTACAACTACAAGGACACACATCATGACAATTTTCCAAATACAATGTGCCATAATGTCTTATTTTGTTTATTTGCCACTATTTCTTCATTCTTAAAACCAATCATCTCATGAATCATACAGGCATAAGAGCTTGATGATGCATGTCCCAGCAATGAACCTGTAGGGCAATTTGATACAATGGAATCCATGCATGGGGTATCTCGTCTAGATGCATAACTTGCATTACGTTGAGCTAGAAGTGCCTGCCGCTCTTCCGGTGGCAGGCTTTGCCGACGCGCTCGTTGGCGTGCATTTCTTTCTTGCCTCTCCTCTAGTGTCAAACTTTGCCTACGTGCTCGCTGGCTTGCATTTCTCTCATCAAGTGTCATACGTTGTCGTTTCTCTCTTCTTCGTGCATTAATCTCTTCCTTCTCCTTAGGTGTCAAATTTTGCCGACGTGCTCTAACACGTTCTCGCCTTGCTTGGATTTGCTCTGGTGTACGGTTAGAATATCTTATTGCTTCACGTGCACGCTTTCGCCCTACAGAATTCACACGAGAAATTAATTAAGTGGGTAAACGGAATTATATAAGCAAACACTTCCGCCCTATAGATTTACCTTTTGAGCTTTCTCCTTGCTCCAATCCGTCGATTGATGTGAGCATACCAGTATAAGTAGGAAAAATCACCGTCGCTGATTGGTTTGTCACTTCATCATCTGAAGATGAGTAACTTAAATTGGTCGCATCCGTTGGTTCACGTATAAATAAACCTGTTC